AAGCGATCAGTCGGAGCTGGTTGAAGGTGGAGATTAACAGCATTAAAGAAGCAAAAACATGTGGGAAAATCAACAGATATTAAGGTTTTGGCAGAAATAAAAAAAAAAAAAAAAAAAAAAGGAAACAAAAACAAAGAGAACGATACATTCATAGCTTAGAGGCAGTGTACCCGTGTAGCATGCGCTCTTGAACTGATAGCACTTCATGAACTGATGCTCTGAAATTCGTGCAGAGAAAAATCAACCAGTAATAAGTCCGCAAATACAAGCTGAGCAGAGAGACGCTAAAAAACCAAGGGGAATAAGGGGAATCTCGTAAATACAAAGACAAATATGTCGACCTAGATTATGGATGGGCCAATATGCACCATGCACGATACGCAAATCCAGATCCAACCAGTGCAGTAGAGCAAAGTCAAAAGCATTGCAGTTGATGGGTTCTGAGCGCTGTATTTCTTGAACTTTAGTGATATCAATCATCGAAGACCGGGACATTGACTGGAGAAGATCTGGTGAAGCGATGTCCGGGGAAGCCACCACGGCCTCTATTACCCGAATGAAGAAGCAGCCTGGAATTCCAAGGGTTGTCCTCAATGCCGCTGTAAGAGTAAGCGCGCATGTGCCATGAGTCACTTGCCCGGCGTAGAGGAGGCGAAAACACATCGTACTGGGACAGACTGTCTGTGTCTGGTGACATGCCGCTGCTCAGAGTGCTGTGACTTCCAGAAGACAGCTTTCTTCCATGGGGGTTTCTAGATCCGCTAGATAGAAGATCGAACAAGATGTTGGTCTCCTGACTGATCGCATCCTGCCAGATCGTGCGCTTAGCGACTTCCTCGGGCCATTCAAACCAGATCGGACCAAATGGCGAGATGAGGCTGACATTATCCGAAGGGAAGTTGTTGGGGAGCTCCGGGTGAGACATGGCGTGGATTGAGCCCTTGGAAATCAAGTCGACAAGAAACTAGATTTAGAGTCAGAACATAGGCTGCCACCTTGGGAGTGCTGAAAGTGAGGGGAATAAGAGGTCTAGAAGAGTAGGCTCCCACAACACATACCTTGTAAGTGTGCTCATCGAGGTTAGGCATAGTAGCCAAGGTGTCAAAGGGAAACCATTGACTGATGTCAGATAGCTTATTCAATTCAGCGAAGTTTTCTGCGTTGACACACAAGGTATATCTCTGGCGTTCGTTGAAGCCTGGACATTCGAGTCCTGCACGAAGAAGGTCATTCAAGAGGCGCTGATCCAGGCCCACTGTATTCGCTCTGCTCATACGAGTAAGAAGAGCCAAAACCTGGCGATTGACCAAGTCAAAGAGCAAGTTACGATCATGGACCGTGTAAAGATCAACGGCATACCAGGGGAACTGAATTTCTGTGTAAGCAAATCTACTTTGCATGATTCTGCCCAACCCCACCTACCTTGTAGAGGGTACTGATAGTGGACTCATATGTACGCTGAGGACATTTGGTACTGAAAGGAGACTGGCGATGGTCAGGCTTCGCAATCAATGAAAATGATCTCGGGGATGCTTACTCTGTGAGGCATCTCTGCATGGCGAATAGCACCGATAATCTCCTCGCTGGTGAAGAAGCCAGCAAAGCCCGTTGAATAGGGATCATTGTTACGGAGAACAGTGGGCATACCTACCTGCCAGTGGACACACTTTGCACGAGGGAAGAGATCGCGCAGCAGCGCATCCTGAGAACTAAGTTCGACGTCAACGTGTCTGTTCCCCAAGCGAGGCGGACGGCCAGTTTCCTGGATACTGTCGATTCTCTTGACGGTCTCTTTAGCATCTCCTGGTGTCGCAAATTCCACGTAACAATCCATTGTCTTCGCAGTTGAGCGCTCCATTATAATGTGGACGGCTTGACCCGAGCTCAGGCGAGACTGGCGTCCTACGAATTGTAGTATCTCCTGCTTGGTGATAGAATAGGGAATCTGTTCCGATTTTAGATGTGTGCTTCTGAAGGCATGAATGGTCGCTTACATTGGATATCTTCATAACGCCTGCGGCTGGTGGCTGTTGCAGGAGAGTAAGACTGCCGATCGGCATCTCATCAGGCAAACCACCCTTCGCAACGGCCTTGAGAATATTCTGAGCCTCATGTAGATGGTTCCCGACGACCACAGAGGAGTTCCGACGATGGGCTAGAGGTGAACCAGCCACTCCATATTCGAAACGTGAGTGACCCAGTGGAACTGGGGTAGGTGAGTTTGAAGAGTATGGTGTGAGAGACAAACTCCTCATCTTCGCACTCAGCAAATCTCCACAGCCCGACCGGGAGTCGAGCGCCAATTCCCCAGTGAGGCCGCTTGAAAGTCGCCGGCGACTTGCAGAAGGGGAGAAGAGCTCGCTGGGTGAAGCCATATGGTCATTGTAGTGATGCTTTGGAGTAGCAGGGGGGTTGATATGACCAGACTGCGCCATATTGATATGTAGTCAAAAGAGGGATGTGTAGAGACAAAGATGACAAGATATGATGAGATGTGCAGAAATGAACTCAGACTGGACCCCGGTTGAGTTGCTTGGAGAGCAACCATATACAAGTTGCGCAGCCGCGTTTCATCTATTCACATCAGGTGCTGAAGCGCAGCAATGACCACAGCGTGTTACCGGACTGCAAGAAAGGCTCTACTGAGATACACCAAAAATCAAGGGTGCTCCTTATCTTGTTCTGGCAGATCTGATTTGTATGTCAATAATCAGAGGCAGGACAGTGAGTAATGCAACGGTCAGATAGAGGGTATTCAGAGGACCATGTGAACAGGAACATAGTGTAACGGCTCGATAAGGTTCCTTTGAAGTAAGACATACAAATGGAAGGTCCTCAACCGCAAATACCATATAACTTTAAGCTATTCAATGCCATTTACAGCAGCAGGATCATTCACTAGTACGCCAAAGCGAGCTCGGGGAGAGGTAGCATCGCCAAATTTTCTGGTCATGCTTGGAGATATTCACTGACCTACCGGCTAAATAGGCATCAATCAGTCATGGAAGCAGCCAAAAAAAAAAAAAAAAACCCATAGCGCTCAAGCCAAGTTAACAAGCACCCGATAGATGCGCCCAAGACTTCTAACACGTCAGTGACATATGCCCGTGCGGCGCGTTTCTGGTTTTCCATATCTACACTTGTCAGTAGAATCATACTGGATGATTCTGGAAAGAGCTGTCTATGCGCAACATGGGCACAATTTTAGGGATGGAATGACGACTGGAAATTTGTAAAAGGAACAAGCATAGAAGGAACACAGCGATTTCCCAGCACCAGCCCAGATCGCCTGTACAATGATTGCTCCTGGGAAAGGAAATCTGATTCATTCAGAACAAGAAGAGTGGCATTAAAGCATACATTTAGTCGAACTGTGATGCCATGTTAGGGGTCTTCCATCGTAGTGCTTAGCCTGGATGCTTACCGGTGTCAAGAACGACTCAGCCACGAAACGGGCACGGGCGTTCAGCTGCAGACCATTAGCATGAGATTGCCACGTGATAAGGAGCTTGAAACTTACGAAAAGCTTCATCTCCGAGATTTCCTTGTCCACTTCCTCCATAAACTCAATCACGAAATCCACAATCTTGTGTTTCAGCATAGCCTCGGTATGGAAGTTCGTGATAAGGAACGAGATATCATAACCCTCCACCGGCTTCCTCCGGAGAATCAGGAACGCATCCGCGCGCTGCGTTAAGAATCTCGCGAATTTATGCACCAAGATATGTTCAATTTCATCGGCTTGTTTGACCTTTAGGGACACGCGGACGGAGTTGACCGAGGGTTCAATGAAGGTGCGTTCGTCCTATTCAACAACAAAAATCGCATTAGACAAGTACAGTATCGACACTAATTTGGGCCAAGAGCACGTACAGAATTCCGAGAAATGACCAATGGGTTGAGCAAGAGCTCAGGAGAGCTTGCTGCTTCGATCTCTGGCACATTGTGCCTCTCCGAGGTCTGGCTAGCGAAATTGGAAATAGCGAGCGCCGCCGAAAGTGACGAACGAACACATTGAAGATACGGCCGGAGACTCGTGCTCTATTGTAGCGTGTATGAGCATCCTATCATAGACACAGCCCACTACTCTAATTGTAGTGCTCGGGATGTAGCGCTCACCATTGTGACGTAGTTCCAATGCTAGATCTCTGTTAAATGAATCAAAATGAAATGGCCTCACGAATTGTGAACCTTTATATGCTGGAAAATGTGGAGCTTGATGCTTCGTAGGAGAATAATTCCGCCTGTTGTTGTTGTCGCTTCAGTAAAGGAGGCAGGTGATGATGCTACCTACTCAGCACTCAGGAGGGGCGGTCCCCGCAGGGCGGTGATGCAGCCTGTTGTCCATTGCCTCACCGCCTGCCCCACCGCCGCCGCGGAGTTAACTGACGCAGTCATCACCCATTGCCTCATCATTGCCGTCAGAGCTTAGAACTCATCAATTGTTGCATCTCAGATTACAGTGAAGCAAGCTAAGATGGCTTCCATACCAGGTGCGTCATGAATCTTGAGAGATTACAATCGAACTTCGAGTTCCTCGTCCAGCTGCTGACGCCATGACAGTGATAATCAAACACCAGGGCAAGCGCCACGAGGTCGAGCTTGATCCTTCCCTGAACGGTGAAACGCTGAAGTACCAGCTCTTCTCCCTCACCGGCGTCGAACCCGAGCGACAGAAGATCTTGGTTAAGGGTGGTCAATTGAAGGATGAGACTCCGTTATCTTCTCTCAACGCCAAACCAGGGCAGACGTTCATGATGATGGGCACACCATCTGGTAACCAGGGCTCTGCTGACTTGGGCCGACCAAAAGAAGTTATGAAGTTCTTGGAAGACATGACGGAAGCAGAGGCTGCCAAGGCCGAGGGTGCAACTCCTGCCGGCCTACAGAACCTTGGCAATACTTGCTACCTCAACTCTACCCTTCAAGCTCTGAGGGGCGTCCCCGAACTTCAGGAGGAATTACTCAGGTATCGACCCACTGCGGGCTCTAGCGGGGGCTCCAGCCTTGCAGGTCTTAGTAGCCTCGGTCTAGGAGGTCTGGGTGCTTCGACAGATCTTACTGCTTCTCTTCGGGATTTGTTCAAACAGATGTCTGAGACGCAGGAAGGCTTCCCGCCACTCATGTTCCTCAATGCACTGAGAAATGCCTACCCCCAGTTTGCTCAAAGAGACCGGAATGGGCATGGGTATGCCCAACAAGATGCTGAAGAGGCTTGGTCACAGATTGTGACACAGCTCAGGAACAAGTTGGTTATCAAAGAAGGCGAAGGGGAGTCTGCGACGGAGGTGTCGTTTGTGGATAAGTATCTTGCTGGACGGTTTGAGTCAGTGACGGAATGCGACGACTCCGCAGCCAAGGAGGTTGGTGAGAAGCCTACTGAGAGCACGGATGTGTTTTACAAGCTCGACTGCCATATTGGCAAGGAAACAAATCACCTGAGCGACGGTATCATGGCCGGTCTCGAGGAAAAGATCGAGAAGCACTCCCCAACTCTGGACCGCGATGCCGTTTACACAAAACGCTCTCGCATTGCGCGCTTGCCCAAGTATCTCACGGTGCATTTTGTTCGATTCTTCTGGAAGCGCGAAACGCAGAAGAAGGCCAAGATCATGCGAAAAGTTACATTCCCTCACGAGCTTGACGTGGTCGACTTCTGTACCGAGGAGCTGAAGAAGCAGCTTATTCCTGTCAGGGACAAGGTTCGAGAGATCCGAAAGGAGGAAGTGGATGTTGAACGGGCTCGCAAGCGCCAGAAGCTTGCTCATCGCCAAGGAGAGGAGAAGAACGAAGAAGGCGAATCCTCGAGCATGGAGCCCATGCAGAAGAAGAAAGCAGCCGAAGAGCGCAAGGATGATAAGGACGAAGCCATGGCCGACGTATTCAAGACCGACGCCGAATACGAGGCCGAGAAAACCGCATCGATCCTTGCTGCCAAGAAGGAATTGTCCGCATTGATCAATCAGAAGCTTGCAGCTGATGCGGGAGCCAACACAACTGGTCTTTACGAGCTTCGTGGTGTGATCACCCACCAGGGTGCCAGCGCTGATAGTGGTCATTATACAGCCTATGTGAAGAAGCAGGACAAGGACAATTCTGGCAGCGCTGAAGGCAAGTGGTGGTGGTTCAATGACGAGAAGGTGACCGAAGTGGACGGAGAGAAGATCGAGACTCTCGCTGGTGGTGGTAAGTACTTCCATTCAAACTGTCTCACATTAGTCTCTAACATGGCCCACCAGGTGAATCTCACTCTGCCTTGATCCTCCTGTATCGTGCAGTGGAAATGCCTCGTGAGGACTGAGCAGCCTCTCCGCAGCAGGACATAATGATTGATGCGACAACTACACCTCCATAGATGACGAACTGAATTGATACTTAGCTTGGCTGTTCACCAGAGCAGAATACATTACTTCCCAACAAATATCCTTATCCAGGTCTTGGTACTGCCGCCGACCACAATATCGCTAAAGATTCCTCGTCTTCTTGGACCCTTCCTAAGTCATTCTAATTTGTAACCAAGTAGAGCGTACACCAAGCCATGTGCTGTATTCCTATAGGTGCATGTAGCTGTAATCGCATCACGTGACTGATACTCGCGCTCCTCTTATCTAATCACCGATCCTCCGCATTGGAAACGAGCTTCCCAGCAATGCACTCGTCGCAACTCCAATGCTGAGCAGTATGTTCCGTCTACATAGAGTCTGCCTATCGCAGGCGTCTCACCTTACGACCGGATCACAATCAGTCGCATGCTATGCGCGTGCGAACACAAGGGCTTTGAATACCGCCGCCCAGCCATCGTTTCTCCGATCGTCGCGATGGCCGCGACGATTGCTCTACATGGCGGTCTTCGGCACCTGTGGCGCAGCCTTCATAGGCAGCTGGATGGATGAGAATGTCTCCGCGCCCGCCCTACCAGGCACGCTCGAGGATCAGGGACGACTCGAGGCGATCAATTCGAAATTCGAACACTGGCTGCCGATCGTGCAGAGGTTGCGAGCGAACCCCGACTACGTGGAGGCCGATGTCTACGGCAATTTCTCCGAGGACGAGAAAACGCAAAGGCTCACCTCCGGTCCGCTGCGAGGGAGTAGAGGAGTAGGACTTCAGGTACGTTGCTTGTCCGACCCCGCCTGAGATGATACAACGATCCAGAACAGCGCTAGGAACGCAGTGAAACATCCATGCGTTTCCCCGGCTTGGAACTTGGCCTGGTTGGACCGTGATTCTTTACTGACGGCTGAGTACAGAGGGTCTTCTACAATGACAAGGAAAAAACGGCCGTCAATGTCGCATACCTTGGGCCGGGTCTGGAAGGGTGGCCGACCATGGTCCACGGAGGAGCGCTCGGTACGATCATTGATGAGCATCTAGGCCGTGTCGCAATCCGGAATCTCCCCCAACGCACCGGAGTCACTGCCAATCTCGAGCTCCAATACCGGGCACCGGTCTTTTCGAACAACTTCTACACATTCCATGCCACTCTGGATCAGGAGAAAAGTACGGAGCGCAAAGCTTATGTCCGGGGCGAAGTTCGTGATATGGTTGGGAAATTGTGCGTCGAGGCCAGCGCACTGTTCGTCGTCCCCAAGAATTACAAGCTCCGTGAAGATGGGGAGCGCTTCTAGCATGGCACAGTGGCATGAGCCTCGCTTGACGGGACGACGCGAGTGACTGTGTCACGGGATTCGTCCACACCGGGTAGAATTAGAGTTTCGTCAGTTCGCTTCTTGTCCATAATTATTTCAACTGAGTGTGCCTCGGCTTAATGTCCATTTCGGGGCTGTATACGCGACAGACAAACAGACAGACAGACAGATCTGGTCTACGGAGCCATTGGAGTATTCCAAGTTGTACAGTACCATGCTTGTCTACGCAATTATCGCAGCATCCGTAGCGTAGCACTGCCAATGAAGCTTGTACCATGTGGGCCTTTCAAGCTTTCTTTCAAGTGGCATCGATTTCTCCGCAGGGCCCGTTCCCCGCGATTTCGCCCCCCGCATTTTTTCTGGAGGAGGAAGGAGACTAGCATTTTCATTGGAACCAAGCGGTCAACTCCGGTCGGGTACAGGCCGTGTAACTCCACCACGCCTATGGTAAAACTTGTCAACTTCCTCGGTTGTCACCCAAAGAGGTAGCATCTCCGCTTGTCCATATCCCCTCCAAAGGATGCGCGAGGAGTCATGACGGCTACTACTTCCGCTATCTACACCCACCGGGTATCTGAAGGGTCGAGGCCCGGTGCTGTCTGTTGATCACTGTGGGCGGCCATAACCTATATAAATTGAGATCACCTTGCTTTGTCTGACTAGAATCTCCTCGGATTCGCATTTCCGCCACTGGCTGCGCGGTTTTCGACCTAGTCGTTGTCAACCTTCTCCCCAGTCTCTTTCCTTCTACATTAAGCGCGATGGACGTCGCAGTCCAGCGCAGCCAAGCTGGCGTCGACGAAAAGACAGCAGCACATTCATCTTTCAATGACAATGTCGCGAGTAATTTTAGCCACCGGGAGGTGGCTGGACGGGACTCCAATGAGGAGGACATTGAAGGTGAAGTGAAGGTGCCAGTGCGTAAATCCTCACCTCAAGGAAGCAAAGACTGGCTGGATAGGGAACTTGCTGATCTTGTACGACTTTTAGATGACATTTCGTCGGTTCATGGGTTTCACTGCAATGGCGTTCTTGTGGACTGGAAGTCAGATTCCAGTCTACTTATTCGGTACGGCTACGCTGATGCCTATCCTGCGCTGAGTCGCTGGTTTAACATCTCGCTAGGAGGTATCCCACCTTATATCTATAGAGAAATCGGTGGGGCAGATAGATGGGTTTGGTTTGTAAGACTACACCACGATCTTTGAGGCATCGTTCATCACTGACTAATATCATAGGTCCTGGCAAATCTTCTTGCTCTCGCTGGCGTCTGTCCTTTCGTCGGATCGCTGTCGGATTTGATCGGTCGTCGATATGTTGCCATCATCGGAGCCTCACTCATCTGCATTGGTATGATCGTGAGTAGTACAGCCAACACGATGAATACATTTATCGGTATGTTCACAAGAGAGTGTTCACTTTTCACACTGTAATACATCTAACAACTTGAAGCCGGGATGGCAATTGCAGGAGCAGGAGCAGGCGTCAATGAACTGACTGCGCTAGCTGCGACCTCTGAAATGGCACCAACCCGACAGAGGGGCAAATATGTGGCAGTATTGATCTTCTCTATCTTACCGTTCTGTCCTTCGGTACTCTGGGCCCAGCTCATTGCAGCACACAGCAGCTGGAGATACGTTGGCGCATTCTGTGGAGCATGGAATGGATTTGGATTATTGGCCACAGCTCTCTTTTACTTTCCACCACCTCGAGTAAACTCCGAAGGATTAAGCAACGCAGAAGTCATCCGTCGTATTGACTTTGTCGGCGGATTTCTCAGCATTTCCGGTCTCATCGTTTTCTTGGCTGGCTTACAATGGGGTGGTTACATGGTAAGCGCTGCATGAGATAATTCTTCGCACAGTTTTTCTAACCATCGTCTCTACGTTTACAGTACAGCTGGAAAACCGCCCATGTCCTCGTCCCGCTTATCCTCGGTTTCATATTCCTCGTCCTTTTCGCTGTCTGGGAAGTCTACGGCGCGAAGTATCCCATCTTCCCAAGTCGCTTGAAGCAAGAAACCTGGACCCTGGGCTTGACGCTAGTCATCACCTTCATTTCCGGAGCGAACTTCTTCTCCGTCCTCATGTTCTGGCCTACGCAGTCGTTCAACGTCTACGGCCACGATCCTGTTGACGTGGGTGTTCGCAGTATCCCCATCGGCTTCTCCATCCTGATCGGTGCATGCATTGTGTTATGGCTGCTGAGTGTGCTTCGCGGCCACAACAAGGAGCTTTTGATCTTGAGCAGCGTGCTCATGACAGCAGGTCAGTCCTCTACAACCAGAATGCAATCTTGTATAAAAGCTGATCTCCACCAGGCTGCGGCGCCCTCTCCATTGGCCGACTCGACAATCTCTACCAACTATGGGGTATCCTTGTCCTTGCGGGCCTAGGGATCGGCGGCATCGTCGTTCCAGCATCCATCATGACCACCATCATCTGTCCAGATGTAAGATCGCCATAGCTAATCGTCGTTTGTTCTGCCTATTCTTTCCCCGACCCACAATCTTCCCTTCTTTCACCTCATCATCATGCCACCGCGCAGCCAACCCTGTGAAAATTCTCTCCTACAAATCACCCTAGAATCCCTCCAACAAGCCAGACCAAACCCAACTAACACCTCACTCCTCCTTTCATAGGACCTAATCGCCACCATCTCCGCCCTAACCCTCTCGATCCGCGTGGTCGGCGGCGGCATCGGCTACACAATCTACTACAACATTTTCATCTCCAAGTTCGTGCCCAACGCGGAGCACTATATCGGCGGCGTCATGATGACACAGCTCAACATCACCAACCCACAGTACATCGCCGAAGCGATCCAGCTGACGGGCGCATCGCTCCTCGAGGAGCTCGACGCGATTCCCGGGATCGCCGGCAACCCCGCGGCGTACGAGGCGGTCGTAACGGCGGGTCAGATAGCGTTCGCAGAAAGCTACAAGTGGGTGTATTATGCCAGCATCGGGTTTGGCGGGGTAGCGATCCTGGCGGCGTGCTTCCTGGGCGATGTGCGGCGGTATATGAACGATCATGTAGCGGTGGTGATGCATTAATGCGCAACAATGGAACGTCTACAGGGGAAGGAAGGCGTATGGCTGAGGTACATACCGCCTTATGACAATGATACCTTGACACATGATGGTTTTATGAAGGTCAGGTCGGGAATGGTCACTTCTTTTGTTTTGAGATTGGTTCAACCCTGTACATAACTACAAATCAACCCTACACATATAATATACCTTTGCCGGAGAAAGAGAGAAACCAGATGAGGACGAAGATCTATATCCCAATCCTCAAACGTGGGAGCATGGATTTTACCAAAATCTGGCCCACCAAGAACCAGACCCCATTTATCATACATACATACAAAGTTGTTTGCAGTGAGCAAGATCATCTATCCCTAAACAAATTCCGACGAGGAAAGAGGAAAAATCAATAACCCAATAACATTTCAGACGTTCACCCGAACGGAAAAAAAACATAACAAAAAAAAAAAAAAAGAAAAAAGAAAGTATGAAGAAGAGCAAGGCACAGCGCTGATCATGTCCCAGAGACTTTTTTCTTTGCTTCTCGTGCGAGTGAACTCGATGGTCCTGAAGTACTGGGTTCTTTCCCGCCTATTGACGCCTTTTCACGATGCCGGGTATTTACGTCAAAAAAATAGTAAGTTTGGTTTCGGTATGGCAAATGGAGACTGTTATGTCCAAATGTCTCGGGTTTTCTTTTTGCGATGCAGAAAGGAAGGAGTCTTGCCAAGGATGAAGGGGGGCTGGGGGCAAAAGTAAAGAAGAAAGGAGGTATGTGAGGTGAAAGTGGTGGGGAAGAGGGGTAAAATGAACAACAGGGATTGGGATTATAGGACATAGAGGGAAAGAAAGGTGAACCCCTGCATCCCTGTCAGGAATTGTCCCCGTTGGCTTCGCTTTTGATATCGGGTTCGCCAAATGCATCATCTGCAGCGGCCATGTCCGGGGTTAATCCGTTCTTGAGCTTGCTGCTGGGAGGGGTGGGCTTCTTCCCCGCCAGCTTCTTCGGAGCACCGAGTTTCTTCTTCTTGTTCATAGTCGGCGGGCCATCGTCGTCAATCAGGGGCCGTTTGGGCGGAGCAGAGGTGGGCGTGCTGTTGCCGGTGTTGATGTTCTCCAAGGGGGTCTTGTTGCGGCCACCCAGTGGTCGGCCGGAGATGCCCAAGCAGCGGTCCAGATGCTGCGCCACGCGGGTCACGACAAAATATCTTGGGCAGTTCGGACACTTCACCGTTGGGAACGATATCCTTTCCGGCGCAGCCTGCTTGAAGGAGCCGTCGGGGGTCGTGGGTGGGCTCGACCCGGGGGTATTCGAGGTGGTGACTTGCTTCTTCTTCTGAGGTTTTACCTTGTCCGTCACGAATGGGTTCCCGTTGACGTCGTGACCAGGTTTGCTGATCGTCGGCTGCTTCTGGCAGTACTCGCGGTACGGGTCGGGAGGGGCACGAGCCCCGACGCCTGTCACAGGGTACAAGAGGCGCGGCAGCCGGCAATCAGGACAAATGATATCCTTGGTGGTTTGTAGAGGGTTGCCCTTCAAGTAGACCTTGCCCTCGTCGAAGATGGCCCCGTCGGTTTCCACACGAATGTCCTTGAGTTCCTCGAAATCGAGATCGCCTGGCTTGAACGCAGTGGTCGGTTTCCCGCTTTCTTCGCGACGCCTGGTCGCCTCCTCATCTGCCTTCTGTCGGGCAGCAACGACCGCGGAACGCATGCGGGAAACCTTCTCATCACGGTGGACTTTGGCGACTATGTCATGGATGATGTTGTAGAATGTGTCATTGAGGATTTCACAGGTCTGCACTGTATTAGCACTGTGTAGATTGGAGCGCAACTAGTAGACAATGATCTGCGCAAATAAAACGTGAGTCATGATGCTTGAGGTGCTTACTAGTTTCGCTATCGTCCCTGGAGGGAAAGAGGATCCCCGTTCCTCAGCCCCTTTTGACTCGCCCATCGTTGTAATTTGTGTGTTCTGAAGTGCCGATTGTTAGACATTGCATAGCTTGAAAGCGTGAGCTACACGAGAGGAGAACACCAAAACAATAGCAGCGGCAACCATCAAAAGTGCGCCGCTCGGTACTACCGTCTCTCACAATAATATTGCTTGGTGAAATAAGAACGTTCCCATAACGCTCTGTCAAGGGTGACTGTCATAGCCACAGTCCGAACGTACCTTGATACCAACGGATCCTACTCCAATTTGTGCGCTTGGCTCTCCCCAAAGGTCGACCAGTATGGCAAAGTCCGTCTTCGTGCAGAACAAAGCCCCGAGAGCTTTGATGTTATAGCTTCATGCAGGTTGTATGTACTGTTTGAGCGAGTTTTGATCCGGAGTTCTTTGGTCGCCGACGGATGCGGATCAATTGGGATGATGTCGTAATAGACAGTCGAGTGTGTGTTGGTCGGATCTGACAAAGCTGCAAAGGAGGGTAGGTCTATAGAAATACCAGCCGATTCAAAAGAGTATTACGCGAAAAGGAGGATAGGTATTGTCCATTTGACTTTCAGTGGTGACGGGCGTTCATTAACTGGAGGCGGGAAACTAACTGCCTGCGCACGGTAGGGAGAATCAGCGGACTGCGCGCTACGGCCGTCATCCCAACATGGAGTGTCCACTCACCTGGATACCTGAGAATATGATCATATATATATAGCAGAGAAGCTAGTCGATGGTGAGAACAGGCCAAAGAAAAGGCCAAAGAGCAAGCGACAGGCGCGACACCAGGGGCAATCCTGGATTTGAGGGGGGGCCGTGGAGAGAGAGACTCTTTCGGCGCTGGCCTTTGCCTCATCCAGCCCGGTCCGACTGCCCGATCTTATCTTATCGCATCTCCGCGTTTTCCTCGTCCACCGCTTTGAATCGCGCGTTTCCCCTCTTCAGGCGTCTTTCCCCTCCTTCGTTCTCTGCTCATTCTCTCGTCCTTCCTTAGATATATATCCCTATGCTGCTATAAACAGTTGTTGACTCTTAGTTTTTACTTTGCACTGCTTGTAGCATCTCACTTCCTGCCAGGCATGGCATACCAATTCTTCGCAAAGGCGCATCAATCTAAAGCGCCTACCTCTCCACCTTTGTCTGCCCCTCAGGCTTCAGTGTCGACATTTTCTTCCTCCAAGCCCGCGCATTCTCGACCGCCGGTATACCCAGCGACCCGTCTACCTTCGTCCTCATCTTCGAACGCATTCTCACTCAACTTGCCCACCCGAGTGCAGCCCCCTTCTTCCAAGGACACGCCCTTCCAGCCGACCGCGTATCCCCATCGCATAGCATCAGGCCACCCCACTCCGCACCCGCACGTTACGGTCGAAGTCGTGAGTACAGCTCACATACCCTCTCTGACTCGGATCACGGGGTTGCTGCTGCCTATCCGCTACCCGAACTCATTCTACACAGCCACGATCACTGACCCCGTGATCGCGTCGCTGTCCCGCGTGGCCATTTACCATGATCACCCGGTGGCCGCAGCGCCCGCATCCACCAATCTCAAGGCACCGACAACCGGCACTGACAAAGTCATCGGGGGGATACGCTGTCGGCTGGAGCGACTGCCTTCCGCTACCGCGGAAACCCTGCAGGCATGTCACCACTCCCAGCAGCAAGAACCGACCAACCTCTACATCCAGACTCTTCACCTTCTTTCTCCGTATCGAGGCTGTGGAGTCGCAGCCTCACTTCTGAACTCGCTACTCTATGCTTCCTCGCTTCCCTCTGCGTCTTCGAGTCTAAAAGCTCCACCTCAAGTCTCCGACCTGGTGAAACATTACAACATTCGCACTGTCACGGCACACGTGCACGAAGCCAATGAAGACGGTCTGAAATGGTACCTTGCGCGTGGCTTCCAATTAGAGGACGGCGTGGTAGAAAATTACTACCGCCGCCTGAAACCTTCTGGGGCCAGGATCGTCAAACTCGTCCTGCAGTGGAACGATGACGAGCACGTGCATGTGGAAAGCCAGGTTCAGAACAGTCTACCATCTTCCACTCTGAAGCACAAGCCAGTCAATGAAGACGACGATGAAGACTGGGAGAAGGTCGAGGCAGAAGACGAGCAGGAGGACCATGGAGTGCAGCCAATCTTGGATTCGGAATCCAAGCTTTTCGAAGCCGACGATAGCCTAAATAGGAAGCGCAAGGCTGAAGATGATCACGCAAAACGTTAGCCTGCTACCGCCTCAGTTTTTTATCACCATGGGCTTCAAGTCTCGTCGCGCATTGCATCATTTGGACATTTTGTTTTGAAATACTATGGATACCCTGTTTGCTACCTGCATCATACACTATATAGAATACACATCTTCTACCTGGGCTGTGCTTCATGGAATTGCCTATCCACCTCTCATGTCGGATGCATCCATACTACCTGAAGTGATTTGTTTTAGAAGAGAATTTTGAAATAGGGTCAAGGCTAAATAAATACCAGAGCCATGTTAGGCCTCCCAATATCACAATCGTTTCCCAGAAGACATTAGTGATGGAGGTAAAAGTGCCTTTGGACCCTGAGCCACTGAGTGCGCCGAGAAGATGGTATCCCTCATAGCTGAGAGTCATAGGAAACATACTGACTTTTCTTGAAAAGTACCCTAAAGTAGCTACACATACCCATCATGGATGGGTGATTAACATGATGAATGTGATCCTCGGCTGTGGCAGGCAGTTCGTCTACTACATGTACCTATCTGTTTTGGTGTTCCACAGCCCACAACCCACAACAACTCACAGCCTGTTATTTTTCTACGGTGGACTGCACGGTCCAGACCCACCATCGCCTATATAAAAGAGCATTACGTCCCGCCCCACCCCGCCTACGAAAGTCCCGCCTTGTTCAAAATGTTTCATCGCCCTCTCATCTCTCCCTGCAACTCGACTCTTCCCACAACGATCTCTTATGATGAATATTACGGCATTGCCTCAAGAACGCTTTACATGCGCCTTAATCTTGTATCATGAACACTAACACTCACTTCGAAATTGACTTCTCTTCACAGTGCATCCACTGCTACACCTGGGCAGCAGACAATCATGAGACGCGTCACACTGGCAACAACCAGCCGGTGTGGTGTAATGGGTGACTATACACCTCGGGCCATGACGTCGGCAAATTATTTCTTACCTTGTTTCACTTCCGCCGCCGCATTTGCCAGCACGCCTACTATTGGGATCATCACTTCAGCAACATTTCGCTGGTATGGGTAATTGGAAAACATTTAAATCCAGGGGTTTTTGTTGGAGAACCACCTGGACCATTTTCCAGTACCTGGCAGGCTTTCTTTTCGTTTCCTGGGGCCTTGAAATCGTACGCCTGCCACGATATAAGCTAGAAAGGATAACTCTATACCAACAATCGCCGATGTGGTGTAACTTGGAAAACATCCCGCCCGTCCTAAGGAGATCTGGTCGAGCCCCAGCACTGGCACTTTCTTTTTTTCGCCCTGCCAAATTGTTTAGCTACGATCGGTATATGTCTCAAGTTCGAGCGCGTCGCCTTCGGTCGTCCGTATGGTGCACCGGGTTGGCAGCACGCCCTCCCCAGCTGGCTGTCTGGGTTCGAGTTCCAGCGGCGGCGGCCTTCTTCTTTTGCTCGGTCCTTCGCAGCTTCCCAGAAAAGCGGTATATTCTGAGACAACCACGCGGATTTGAATCACAGGAAAGAGCGCGAAAGATAGCCAGGTCAGTGTCGCTTGTTGCCCGCACCCTCACTAAACCAGTAAACACGCATGAGGGCGAGCTTTGTGCCTTCTCTGCAGCTCGCACCTGCAACGAGTCCGCGCTCGAGAGCAAGGGCCGTCTAGGCGGGGGCCCGACTTAGGCTACCAGCATCGGCAGCCGGCTCACAATCGCTGGGGTGGTGTAACTGGTAACACGCCTCTCGTCATGAGAAGAGCTCTGGGTTCGAATCCCAGCCTTGGCAACCTTCTCTTTTGGCCTCTTTTCAGCTTTCTCTTCGTCATCAATACGCGCGCGAAGCCCTCGAATGTCAAAAATCAACATTGAAATCCGAAGACACTCATTCTTTTCCTTGCACTTGCTTCAACGCTCCTGCCTTGCAATTACGATGCTTACAACGTGGATATCTGGGCAGGAAGGAGGAAACGGTGGAGTACGCGTGGTAACTCTTTGTGGTCTGCAGAAGGCACAATCAGGGTCTGAACCGCCTAGTCTCGTATCGAGTTGAAGGTCTAGTCGAAATCGACACAAAATCGGCACATTGTGTCCATGCCATTGCCTTCTGCGCATGCTTTGGGAGCCCTTTGACTCATACCTGAGAGGCAGGTCATGAAGATTTGGCCGTGTACTGTCAATGAGACCCGGGGTGGTGTAGCGGAAAGCACGGCAGCTGCGTTCGGGATAAACCCATCCGTACCATTACAGGCCTGGGTTTGAATCCCAGCCCCGGGTAGTTTCTCTTTCTCGGTTTCTCTTATTCCCTGCTCCCGCTGTCCAGCAAGACGTCCTTTCAAGCTGCGAAAAAGCATAGGATAGCGAGATCAAGAGTAGGTGTAGTTTTTAGCACTATTGTATTCTGGTAACTTCATAGGATCCACTCAGGCTATTTAATGACGATGACAAAACTACATATCCCCCAACAGCTTAAATTCACAAGAACAAGATATCCTAAGCTGGATAGAGCAAAGAAACACCTTAATTTACCTGAACGACTGATGGCAGCAGTCAATATCATCGATCTACTATGAGCATAGCGTACAAACTAGTGCCGCTATCAAGGCTTAAGCAGCTGGAGCTCCCCTTCACCGCCTCGAGGGTATCCCCACAATTCTGCCGCCGAAAAATGCAACGCAGTTTGAATCCACCGACGAACCTACGAACTTTCACGTACACAGCAACAGAGTTGTTTCAAACCAAGCGCATCATCTCTTTCCAATTCTCCTATCCAATCTTGAGAAATTATCAACGCAAAGCCGAAGCATCAGATCAATAGCGAAACGAGCCTCTCTACCATTTGCGAACGGAACAATGGCCTCCTCAGCGCCACCCCCAGCCCTTACCCTCCCCCCGTCGCAATTCGCGCGCCTCCAACCTCACGCCTACCTCCTCGCGCACCTCTCGCCGCCAGCGTCGAGCAACCAACCCTCCCTGCGCGCCAACGGCCGCCAGCCCGCGCAATTCCGCCCCACCTCGGCCAACACGGGCTCGCTCACCCACACGAACGGCAGCGCCGTGGTCCGCGTGGGCGACACCACCGCCGTGTGCGGCGTGCGCGCCGAACTCCTCCCGACGAGCGACATCGCCTCGTGGAGCGTGTCGCACGCCTCGGCGAATACTGCCCACAAACGCCAGAACACCACGACGACCACCAAGAATGATGCCGACGCCGAAGAATCCCACATCCAAGACCTCCACCTCCTCGTGCCGAACCTCTCGCTGAGCACCGGCTGCGCGCCGGGCTTCGTGCCGGGCGCGCCGCCCTCGGCGCTCGCGCAGTCCCTGTCGCATCAGATTTTGGGGTTGTTGCACAGCACCCGCTTGGTCCGGGCGGAGGATCTGCGGGTCTGGTATCAGGTGCCGACGTTTGGAGGGGATGAGGAGATGGAGGTTGATGCGGATGCGGAGGAGGGACAGAAGGGGAAGAACGATGGAAAAGAGATCAAGGCGTTTTGGGTGCTGTATATCGATATCATGATCGTCTCGCTGGCGGGGAATGCGTTTGACGCGGCGTGGGCGGCGGTGCTGGCGGCGTTGCGCGATACCCGGCTGCCGCGCGCGTGGTGGGATGCTGATAATGAGATGGTCGTGTGCTCGGAGGCGGTGGCTGAGGCGACGAGGCTGTCGTTGCGCGGGTTGCCCGTCGCGAGCTCGTTCTGTGTGTTTGAGGCGGATGCGGCGGCCGGGTGGCGGGCGGTCATTGTGCCGGATGCTGAGGAGGAGAAGATGATTGAGGAGAATCAGCGCAGGGGTATGCAGCGGCGGTGGGTCTTGGCGGATCCCGATGGGTATGAGGAGGGGTTAAGTCAGGAGCGGGTTTGTTTGGTGGTGGATAAGGAGATGGGGAAGACGGTCATTATGAAGATGGAGAAGAATGGTGGGTGGGCGGTGGATGGGAGGGAGTTGAAGCACTTGGTGGATATTGCGGCAGAGAGATGGGAGAGTGTGAAGCAGATCTTGGAGCAGTGTTGAGGTTTTCTTTTTCTTATTCTTCTTATTCTTCTTAACTTACATGAAAATAGCTAGTGTTACAGTAAATGATACCAAATTCGTTGTCATCTCTTTTCTTATTGCTTTCTTCTTATTCCGTAGTGGTCAGTGATGTGATATTGTAGGGTAAGTCAACAAGCACCAGCAACCAGAAGCAACGAGTCCGTAACTCCACCAATGCATCTTATTCAACAGTTCTTTCAAGAACTGGTTGCGCCTGCATGTCGAGGACTTCGCCGACGACGCTTGGTCGGGGGCTCACTGTCACCCTCTGCGCCCACAACCGACCAGTTCTCTTCGTCTGCCGCACTCGATTTACTGCTGAGCGCGGGACTCTTTGGCTTGACGGCTTTCTTCGCCTTCTTAGGATAGAAGAGGGATACTGTAAACAACTCGAGGTCTTTCGCTTCCTCTTCTTTGTCACTGGACGTGTTGGAATCTTTATCATCGTCATCAGCATCAGCATCATCACCTCCCGCCTTCTTGTCCTTTTCCCCGGATGTTTCACCACGGCTGCTGTCGGGGTTCTTGCAATAGGAGAGAATGCGAGAAAAGAAGCCCAGATTCTCTTGGTGTTCGGGATGCTCCTTCTTGTCCTCTGAGTTCTCGTCACTCTCCTCATCATCCTCGTCCTCCTCACTGAACTCCCACATCTCACCAATTTCGTTTCTGACCAAGGCAGTGCCCCACAAAGAAATCAGGACCCCGGGGACAAGGTACAAGAGCGCGGGCTGAGGGTGATCGAAGATCTGCATCACCACCAGCGTCGCAATCATCCCCAGCAAGTATCCCACAACACTGGCCTTGAAGTACGTCTTGGGGAAAGAGCGAGCATCGTAGTATGGGGGCTGCAATTCAGGCTCCTTTGGTGCCACGGATCGCGTCCAGAAGCGCTCTCCCCAGCCTCCAGTAGCGGGTTGATATATCGGCTTGGTGAACTCCACTCCATTGCCCTCTGCCCGAGCCTTCTGCAAGCCCTTCCGTTTGTAGTAGAGGTAGAGGTCAAAGCGCAGGGCCAGCCCCACCATCATACCCGGGATGATAATGTCACCCAAGCCCAACATAGCCAGCGACACGGTGTCGGGGGCTTCGCCAGAGATCGGAGGCCGCGGGAAGAGAAGCTTGATGGGCACGTCGAGTTTCTTAGCGACGGTCACCATCAGCGGGGTGAAGTAGACGAAGTAGATGTCGTAGAAGAACAGGGATCCCAGGATGAGCGATCCGGTCACGAAGGTCGACGGCGACATGAACTGCAAGGTACCGTAGCAGAAGCTGAAGCCCAAGAAGTTGGTCAGCCACCATGGCTTGGTGACGAATGTGAAGTAGCCGATCGCGGGCAACGCCAGGAGGGTACTGAGGAGATCCAGCATATCCAGCCAGATCTCACCACGCACGAGTCGGTGCACATGAACGCGAAGCTTGGCTCGCCAGTATAACGTGCTGCGAAGTTTCCAGATCGCAGTACGTGCGGCACCAGGCAGTGGGATTCGACCGAAGACGCCGGGGAGGGGAGAACGCCGACTGTCTGCCGATTCAGGGCTGCTTGGGACGTCTTTGGCGACGATGAAAGCCTGCTCTGAGGGTTTGTGTTTCCAGGTTCGGCCAGCGGAGCTGTATCTCTTTGGGAAGACGAAGGATCTGATGACAGAGAGAAAGTCTTTCAAGAACGCTATAGCGAAGAAGAGCCCCATCTGCGAGAAGTAGTAACCAAGGATTTTGTTCAGCGTCTCAGCTCCTTTGTATTTGATGAACAGATACAGTCCTCCAAGTGTGAGCCCAGCTGTGAGAGGGAACATCAAGGCGTCGCTTGGTGCCAGACCCTCCATCTTGTGGCCGTTGCTTTTGTTTTCCTCCTCCGACTCATCGTCATCCGATTCGTACCCGGAGACTTGTGTTTTCTTGGGGGGCTTCGTGGCCGACGGCGGCTTCGCTAAAGATGCATGCGCGCCAATGTAGATAGGAAAGATCGCGGAAAGGAGGAGGTGGCCGTAGGTTGGGAGAAGAGGCTTGATGAGGGTAAACTGATAGACGACCTGGCCCAGGATTTCCGCGAAAGGGCTGACGTCGTCCATGGTGGCTGCGGAGGCCTGGAGCAGGGGGGAGTTGGCAGAATTATGGGATATGCTGCCTATGTGAGGAGGCGAAATGGTTGTTCTGAAATTAGGGGCAGAAAGTGCTCAAGCCATAGCTGTTGAAGCAGTGTGTATACCAGTATTTTGGGATGCGGTCATTGTTCCGCGTGAATATGCAATGCCAAGGCCGAATCTTCACTTTCCCGCCGCACCTCCACCTTTGCATGTCCCATCCTTCCCCTCCAAAAACTCGCATATCAGTACTAGAGTACTAGCTTATCTTTCACAATGGCCACTGATGTAGCATTCGATACGAGCATGGTATGTCTATGCGGATGCATTTCCAGAGAGTTCAAGCTGCTAACAGGTCCCAGGGCTCGTTCACTGTCGAGCTCTACAATGCGCATGCGCCCAAGGTCCGTCACAGAAAGACTAAGCTCACTACGCACACATCAAGGTTCTCCTGAGCTGACTCATGCCATGCCATCTAGACGTGTAAGAACTTCGCAACCCTTGCGCAACGAGGATACTACAACGACGTCATTTTCCACCGCATCATCCCCAACTTCATGGTTCAGACTGGCGACCCTACCGGCACCGGAAGAGGAGGAAGCTCCATCTACGGCGAGAAGTTTGAGGACGAGATCAACCCCAATCTGAAGCATACCGGAGCTGGCATCCTGAGCATGGCGAACAGCGGTCCCAACACCAATGGCAGTCAGTTCTTCGTCACGCTGGCACCGACGCCGTGGCTGGATGGAAAGCACACTATCTTCGGCCGCGTCAAGAGCGGCATGAGGGTGATCCAGCGCATGGGCCTCGTGAAGACGAATGGCGAGGATAGACCGATGGACGAGGTCAAGATCATCCGCGCCAGGGTCGTGGAAGAAGGTACGGACGAGTGAGATCGTTGCGGGGGAACATCGAATACCGCGAGGCAGATTGGGTCATAGAGCTCCGTCGACACATCCCATCGATGTCTACTTCCTGCCAGTGGAACGAAGGACGGCCTTCGGGCCGTATGGAGGTCAGGATGACCAGAGCTTGAGAAGCATCCTGACGCCGGTAACCACGCTATTGGCGGCGTCACGCACAGCACTGACAGCCATATTTCTGTGCCATCACGGCGATACATGGCTCAATTGTTGGGTTACAGAAGCTACAGCTTGCTATCTGCGAAGGAGAGAAGGTACACTCATGTAGTTCGCAGACAAACAGATGATTTTAGATGAGTGGAATGTATCACTACAAAACGAACCGCTTCCATCAGATGTTACCATCCAGAGCAGCAGATACAGAGTGAAGATTTTTCTACCACTCCTAATAAGACAAGGACCAGTGAAGGCTTGTCCGTAGACGACATACTGCTACGGTTGAGACAGCAGTAAGCCTGTGCAGAGCACTAGGAGTGGTGTGAAGAAGAAAGAAACCAGCATTGTGGGAGAATTGCTCCTTAAGTGGTTCTCCCAGATGCCGCCTAACCGTATCAGGTGTAGTGCTTTAGCTCGCGGCCTTAGGCATATATCTTCCATGCATGATGCAACGATGCATAGCTCCTCTGGTATAAGGAGTACAATGTAGTAGAAAAGAACTTCCAGATAGGTCTGGAGGAACTCTCTGGGGGTTGGCACAGAGCCGGGCTTGATTTCGAGGAGTACAGAGCTCGATTGATAGCGCTATGGCTTTCTTTGTACGCAAAGTATATCTCCAGCATTACCTATCCATTTATCCTAGCTCCTTATCTTTGTCATGTATTTAACAGGATAGCTGGTGAAGGATATCGTTAAGCAGGCAATAACTTACTTCTACAGACAGCTTAAAATCACCTAGGTACTCGATGCGCTTGGATTTGTCGCAAATGTCACCATGGACACCTAGAGCGGGTCCAGTGATGCGCCTCACGTGATCCACCATGGCGGGTCATGTATTTCTTCGCGCGTCCGTCGGTTTCTTTTTCTTCCTAAAAAAACCTACTCGTCCTCGAGACGAATGGTTTGGGTTGCACCACCCATGGGCTGGATATTCCTGCTACAAAGGTGTTCAACAGCTTGTCATCCAACGTGACGGCAGCTGGTTTTGCTCAACACACAACACTACAGCACTAAGCCCCTCATTCTAGCTTTGTATGCTGCCAAGTCATCATCGCAATGGAGTCACTAGCGGATACGCCGTGGGATGTAACAATCTCTGGCACTGGGCTGGCCCAGTCTCTCCTAGCACTGTGAGTTCTATTCAATGAAGGTGCTTGTCAACTGCATCGCTGACTGCTGGGTGCTTGACAGGGCCCTGTCTCGGTCGGGTAAGAACGTCCTGCACGTTGACAGGAATCCCTACTACGGGGGCGCCGAAGCTGCATTTAGCCTTCAGGAAGCCGAGGAGTGGGCCAACAGAGTCAACAGTGGTATGTCCATCGTTCTCGAGCTACAATCTGAGCACTGTCTGACGGGTATGGATAAGTGAAGAGACTGGCGACCACCCTTTTGAAAATGCTAGCGTACGCCTAGGAGATGGATCTCCCGAGGTCGGTACACAATTGTCCGCCTCTCGAGCATACACTCTCTCGCTGTCTCCGCAGCTTATCTATGCCCGCTCCCAGTTGCTACCCACCTTGGTCTCGTCCAAGGTTCACCGACAGCTTGAGTTTCAAGCCGTCGGCAGCTGGTGGATCCACAGACCTGGAGATAGCGGTGACAAGCGATTGTATCGCGTCCCTGGCAGTCGCGAGGACATATTTGCGGATGACATGATCAGCGTGAAGTCGAAACGAACTCTGATGAGGTTCATTCGTCATATCGGACCGTCTCAGCCAGGTGCTGATGATGCTGAGGGGGAAAGCTCGTCGCTGGAAGACGATGTTGGTGATGCATCCTTGACGGATTACTTGACAACTAGATTCAAGGTGCCGGACGAGCTGCATGCACCGTTGCTTTCCCTCTGTCTATCGCAAGCCTCTCCACAGCAAACGTCGGCTCGATTTGCCGTGACTCGCATCAAGAGGCATTTAGCCTCGTTGGGTGTCTATGGCTCTGGTTTCGGAAGTCTCGCGGTCAAGTGGGGTGGTGGCTCTGAGATCTCTCAGGTCGGATGCCGCGCCCTTGCCGTTGGTGGTGGTGTTTATGTTTTGAACACCGGCATTCAATCGTTGGAACTTCCTGCCGAGGATACCACGAGTGAAGATTCTCGCATTCAACTGCTGCTATCCAACGACGAGGTCATCAAGACCAAGTTTGTTATTGGCTCCAACTGGGATTTCCCTAAAGCAGCTCGCTTGTCTTGTGATTGTGACAGAGTAGCCCGGTCCATCTCGGTCGTTTCGTCTTCCCTCGAGAGCCTTTTCCCGGCCACGGCGGAGGGCGGACCGGTCCCTGTTGGGGCGGTTGTCGCTTTCCCTGGTGCTTCTCTTGGGCGGGCTGATAATTCGCCTCCGGTCTACATTCTGGTTCACTCTAGCGAGACAGGCGAGTGCCCAACAGGACAATGTAAGTTGCCAATTCTTGATTCCCTCCCGCCTTTCATACCCTCCTGCTCTTATGATGACTTATCTTCAAAACTTATCTACATTGCCTGATCACTGTTGATGCAAACTTCACGAAGACTGATAAAGAGCACCCTACATTTTTCTTGTTTTCTGCTGCATGATTGTTCACAACATCTTGCTAATATGTTTCTCAGGTGTTTTATATGGTAGCATTAACATGCCCGGGTCCGATGGACAGGCCTTGATCGATAGTGCTGTACAGCAGCTTCTTGAATCGGCCGGGGGTCCCAATGCGAAAGTTCTTTGGTCGCTCCGTTATACTCAGTGGGGACGAGGCGAGACCCGCTCCGCTCAGCCTGCCAACTCACCTGAGCGTATAATCCGCCTTCCACCCCCAAGCCTTGACCTGGCTTTCGATGATGCCTTGATTGACACGGTCAAGGAGACCTGGCAGGCTATCATGGGAGATGAGGCCACCGATCACGAATTCATGACGTTCGAGGATCGTGAGGGTGCTTATGAGGAATGATGTAGCTGTAAATGCTCTCTGTATTACCACAGTGACGATCCGACGAATACACTTAATGATCATAGAGCTTTTGCCGATAGACCTGATAATCCACAAGTTCACTCTGAATGTTGATTGCTTGGTGACACATGAGCCGTCTTCCCACTCTGTAGCCGATGTACGACCTTGGATTACCTTGTATCCCCTATCTTCCAGATGTCATATGCAGCCTGGCAAAGCGACAAGCTCAGCTAGTGAAAGCTTGTGAGATGGAAGCAAGCTCCGTGGCACACTCGTGGCCGGAGCACTTGCCGCACTGGACCTGTTGTACCTGAATGTACCTGAATATGTGCTGTACATGTACTTGTGCCTGCTTTTCAACCCCGAATTCAAGCCAGCAAGCCGCACACCTTGTCTCCCCAATGCGTATCTGACTTTCTCTCCTTTCCAAAAAAGATAACAACCGAAGTATCCAGGCATCCTCATCCTTTCTACGCGGGTGTCTACACCCACCACCGCTGGCACCACATCCAACCCAAACCCACGAAATCAGAACACCACATCCCACGAACCGAACTTACAAAGGCTCAGACTACCTCAATCACATCCTCTTTTTCTCCCGCACCCTCAAATCAACTGCGCCATGGTAGCATGCAGGAAAGCAGAGACCGGCAGTAGGTGTAGAAGAAACCCCTCAAAGAGGGAGAACAAGTGGGCCGCGCACCCTCCCGCGCCCCCACGTTCGATCACATCTGAAACACGCTGTCTTTCGATAGTCGGCTCGCCCGGCGGCCCAAGGGGGCGGGACTACCGTACGTACTCATTTCCTGAGTAAAACTTGCTGAGTATGGGCTGGGAGTTCCTTGCCCCAGTCCTTTACTGAAGAAAGGTTTTCTTTTTTCTGGGAGGAAGAAGTAGTAATTTTTGCATGTTCACCGGCTTGCTGGCTCGGCTGGTGTATGGTTCAGACGGGGTGATATGGATGTAGATTACCTAGCTGGGTAGAGAGGAGGTTGGAGGAAGTACGGGAGGTTGGGAATGCCCTCACTTGGCTCGATCGTGGCGGGATATGCCATCATGGATATAATATACTCATAGATTGGTTTTGGTAACGGGGTGGTTGGGAGGTTGAGTACGTGTGCGTTTGAAATCGAGGTCATATACTTGTTGTTGTTCGTGGTGGACGGGTGGGTGGGTGGTTAGTTGGCGGAGATGCTCTACACTGTACGGAATACTCCGTATGAGGTTAGTTAAGGCTCCATTAAGGTAATGAGTACTGCCGGGAAGCTGCATGCATTACGTCGTTGGCGGAACAGACTCCGTGGTGTCAAGGTGATACTGAGACCCTTTCTCGCGAGAGTATGCGTTTATGCATGACACCCACCAGGTTTGGTGATTGCTGGCAGGAGGGAGGAAGGTCAAAAGGCCCGGCGGATTGGCTACGTACTGCTAGAACGACGACACTCTATCGACATGCTCGGTAGTTGATGACTATGAGCAAGTCAATGAGTGTGCCGATCATCCTTGTAAAGGGGCGCTATGCGACAAGCGACACACTCTACAATTACTCTTGACGAACCACCAAGAAGTCCAAGAATAGCGAAAGAACATCGTCCATCGTCCCGTACTTCCAAGTTGGAAAAGTCCCGTTTTCCGATCCCTCTTCGATGGCAATTGGCGCGGGAACCCGGACCCTTGGGGAGAAGGACAGCCTGAGCCGTTTTGGACCCTGAATGGGAGAACCGGCGAACACTAGTACGGAGCGGAGATGGAAGATTGTGAAAGCTGTGGATCGATTGCCAACTGCCCTTGATGTCATCGTTCACGGGGGGTGCAATGGTGCTTGCCCATCTGCTTTTTTATCCCGGGGTCCATTTTTTTCTTCCTGTCCGGATGTGGAAAAAGCGCGTTTGTCGACAATTGAGCAGCCGCCCATGCTTCCAGATTTAGCGATGGGGTTCTTGACTGTCAGTGGGGGGCGCTTGTCTTTGTTCAGGATTGATAGACCGACAGCTGGGAACCGAGCGGCCACAATTGGTGTGAAGTTAGGGGGGAAGGGGGAGATTCTTTTCTGCCCTTGGACTTTGCGTAACCTGTACGATTATTTGGGGATTTGATGTATGTACTGTGGAAGACAAATGACAGAACTGTTGTCTGCATGTGGTCTGACATGTCGGAGACCCGGAGAGACCTGCTCAGGACAGTACATCAATCGGGGGCCAGCAAGATAGATGATGTCTGTACGAATCGTCAAATTTTCCAGGGTCCCTGACAGCTGCCAAGGCTGGCGTTCAAGCTTAATTACCCGACATTGGGTTTTGGCGAGTCGACAATAGCCACCCGCCCAAGGGCACTGCAAAAGAGGGAATGACCTTGTAGATCGTTTTTTTATATCTGTCGTTGTCTATCTCACCGCGAGTGAAGATGGTTAAGTTTGGTCTGCAATGTTCCCCCAGAACCAGCCGGCTATGCGCCCAGGTGACTGAGAACGCATGCGGTTGCACAACAGGAAAAGTTCCATCAATGAAGAATCAGTTCGTAAGCGCAACAGTACGTAGTCCGTGGCAGGTCGCTGGCGTACACGCGTCCAGACAACAGGCTCCGAAAGTCTGCTGTATATCATTGGACTCTGGTTCTTCAGGTTTCATGGTTTCGACTTGCTGATCGCGATCCACTATGGCCAGAGTACGAGTACCCGTACTGAGTAACTGCCACCAGGTACGGAGACATGGCCAGGATTCTCGGAGGCGAATCCTCTGGCCCTGTCAGCCCATTACCGATACTCCTTCCTCTGTGAGGCTCAAGGCTGGGTGTCGTCTTGTTTGCCACTGTGCCGCGCCGCAGTCCGGCGGCGACACGGCCGGGCGGGGAGGGGCCATTGTTGTAAGGCGCTCAATATGTGGCCGGAGAAATATCCATGGTTACCTGCTATAGATAGAACGTTCACATTGACAAGGTGCCAGGTAATCAGTCCACTTTTCTTGTCCCTTGGATGTGGTTCTTCCAGGTACAGTGTACTCGAGTACGATTCTACTGAGTAAATCATACTCGGAGCGGGCGTGTATGTGACGGAAGACCGAGTGGTAACAGATTGAAGAGGGCAATATTGAAATGATCCTCCAGTCCCTACGCAATAACGGGCACCATGGAATGGTAGTGGTGGTGGTGGTGGTGATTAGTGCTGAGTGTAATCTGACTGGCCTATCGACAGTCGGGAATAGATAGAATAGATGAAATGTTGCTGACGGGCAATGAGACTAGTTTCACCTTTTGCACCTTTGCACCGTTGCACCTTTGCACCGTTGCACCTTTTCACATTTGCCTACTCAGTACTCTGTAATTCCACATCAACAGGGCAAGATGATCAACCTGATGGGACACGCGGCCCGTGGGGCTACTGGACCATCCCCCTAACAAGTCGCCCCTGAGTGGCTGGGCCGGCGGGAAACTGCACGCAGATCCAAAAGGGCGTTGCACCAAACACGCTCATCCCAGTCTTAGACTACTGAAATTGGCTTCCAACATGCTCTGTCTGTCTGACTGTCTATCGCGCATTCTGACACTCACTGGTATTTGTTTTGCAATCTTTTTTTTACACTATAATCTGTGGGGGTGTTGAAACACCCTGCGTAGAAGAAGCAAAAGAGAAGCAATCTTGAACCTGCAGCCACCGACTCATTGATGCATTGCTAGCAAACCTTGAAAAGAGTCAAGCAAGGCGAAATACGATAACGATAAGAATAGAAATCAGAACATTTTCACAGAACGGCAGTGGCTGCGCTTTTCACGAACTCACCACTGGAACATTCCGAGAAGCCATCGCAACTTAACCCTTCCCCCTTCCGGGATGGAGCGAGCAACAATAGAAAGGCTCATTCTTATTGTCCGCCACCCACGATCTCCCCCCTTTCCATTCCCCAAAAAAAAGACAAGCTGTCACCTCAAGGCTCCCATCATCTGATACTTAACTTTCTTACCGTTGTTCTGTAACACGGGAGAGCCCGGGTTTGGGATAGATAGAGCGGGCGATCAACTGTCTGAGATTTCTCGGCGTGCACGTTGACGACTACGCAATCGATCAGGGATCTCGAATGTCGAGGGCAACTGCACTAAGCAGCGTACGCACATCCTCTGTACCAGTGCTCATACATGGTGCATATGTACTATGTTGCGAACACAATCGGCCTCTCGTGCCATAGTGGGCCACATCACGACATCTGTAGAGAATACCCGAGAAACACGAGGAGTTTAGAAAAGAACAGGTGGTCTTTATTCGATCCGGCTGGTCGGCTCTCTCCGGTGGTTGACCGGTTGATTCTGCTGGTGGGAGAGCTTTTTCTAATCTGTATCTGTATGCATGTATGTAAAAAAGGTGCATTGAGGGTCTCGGAAGGATTGGTGGACGGGGAGGACCTGGGGAAGTCAAGTGCATTGACGGTTGTTGGAAACATGCCATCCATGGACTACTTTTATCTATCACTTTCGTCTTGTCAATGTCAATCTCTCCATCAGCGATAGACATGACCATGGATGTATCGGCTTACGAAATCGTGGGCATCAACGTGTCTTGAGGACTGTAGAGTGAATGGCCAGGGTCCTGCAATGGTAATTGGTATTGAAAAATACGGCCAGGCACCGGACGAGGAGTGGGGGGAGCAGCAAGAAGGACCCATCCACCATCGCCAATTCTGCCTCTATTCTCGAGTCAGGATCTGCACCAGAAGCAGCAGGCAAGAAGGCTTTTGACCTGTGTAGAAAGGAGCTCATTAGAAGGAAGCGAGAAGAAAAGACCGTGGAGTTTTATACGGGCGGAGCATTGATGCTATGTAGAAACGGATGTAGATTACACTATTGCGGGAAGGTGCCAGAGAGGAAGAGGATAAGAACCACTTCACTATTGTCTCAATCTGCCCCTCACAGTTCTTTCCTATCTGTCTGGCTATCTGGCTGTCTCTTTTCCTCCTTCTCACACAAGCACACACTCTCGCTTCTCTTCCACTTGACCCTGCAGTGCAACCAAGAACAATACGATAGTTGGGGAGAGAATCCCGACGAAACTGAGACCCTCAAAACCGCATTGATTGGTACAGGATATCAAAAATTGGGTAAAGGGTAATTTCCAGCGACGGGCGAGCAAGCTTATTGATTGCGCGTTAATTTAACTCGGTAGGGGGAGGGGAAAAAAAAAAAAAGAGAAAAAGAAAAAGAAATAGAAGTGCAGAGACTCAGAGAGAGTGGAAAAGCTTTGGCCCCATCGAAACCCAGCCCGTGGTCCAGTTCCAATCTTCGGCATTCCCACTTGGGACCCAGCTAGAAGTAAACTAACCTAACTAAACTAATCTAAAAGTTGCCTGTCGTTCGCTCTCCTCAACTCTTCAGACGGTCCGACATTCGCTCTCCTGTCTTCCTTCAAGTCTCGCTCTTATTATTCACTTCCAAGCGCCCCTCCTCCTCCCTCTTTTCTCCTTTTCCCTCCTCCGTCCCGCAACACTCGACAATCAACAATCTCCTCCCTCCCCTCTCCCCCTCCTCCTTCTTCCTCTCATCCTCTCATCCTCTTCCCTTTGGTGGGCGCATTTGTCCAGTTGTGTTGGTGGACTCGTTTTCCCGTCCGCGCGATTTACCCTTTTGGCCACTTTTCATTATCGCCTCAACAACTTCGCTGTCCCTGCGACTTTCCCTACACACAGTACCTTCTATTCTGGCTCAAATCGCCATCTCTGTGACCGTGTCGCAGGTCTCGACGCTTCCAGCCTTTCGTTGACAGTCTCTCCAGCAGTAGAGAATACTTTGGTCATCTATTCGCCAATTCCCCTCGTTGCAGCAATTTACCGCCCGACCTTCGCTTCTCCCAACGATTGTTGACGAGATTCGAAATCGGTGACGACGACGACGCTCTCTTCACGGGCCGTTTTAATATCACGAAATAAAGCCTAATAATCAAATTCTGTGGCATCTGTTTCATGTTCAAAGACTACGGAACAAAGACCCCGAAAATGCCGGTGTTTCGCATGAAAACAGCGGTTCCGCTGATTGCCCTTTTCTCAATCGCCTTTTTCTTCTGGTGCGTTGAGCGCTTCGATCGGGCGGCTTTCTTGCGTTTCAAGCAGCCGGCCGATCACGTCGCTGGAACAACCTCGCCTCAAATTCAGCTACAGCCTACGTCGCCCTCGACGAAGTCCTGCGATGTCGACCCTAATATCCAGCCTCCTCTGCCTATGGCTGAATGGCTCCCACGCAAGAACTACACTCGTGCCTATTTCCGTCCTCACCATGTCAGCCCCAAGGCCGAGTTCAGCTCCTTGGAGAGCATCGAGGTTCCCGTTCTTCCTCCTATGACCGTTATGGAGCGCGGTATGATCGTCTCACCCGACAACAAGGAATCGTCCCTGCCTTGCCCGCCCATCATTGATGTTAATGTCGCCGCTGATCACGAGGTGGACGAGACTGACAAGCTTCTTTTTGGTCTCGCCACCACTGCCGACCGTCTCGATCGCCTGCTGCCATCCCTCCTCTACTCCTACGGCAACACCAAGGTCGGATTGATCGTGCTTGTTCCCGATTCTGACGACGACATTCCCAAGCAGGAAACTTACTTCCGTAACCGCGGTCTGGATTTGACCCTCATTCAATCCCCTCTCGATTTCACCGCTCGTTACTTCGGTCTTGTGCAGGCGTTTGCGGAACACATCAAGACTAAGCGCCCTCAAACCCAGTGGGTCAGCTTCATCGATGACGATACCTTCTTCCTGTCTCTCCCCACGGTTGCCGAGGAATTGAAGCTCTTTGATGCGAGCAAGAAGCACTACATCGGTGCTCTGTCCGAGGCTAGCTGGCAGGTGGACACTTTCGGTCACATCGCTTTCGGCGGTGCTGGTGTTTTCGTTTCGAAGCCGCTGCTCGATGTTTTGGTGGACAAATACGATGAGTGCCAGTCTTGGGGCGAGCAACCGGGTGATCAGAAGCTTGGCCAGTGCATTCAGCGTTACGGAGACACCCCCCTTACTCTCTGGCCCTCTCTCTACCAGATGGATATGAAGGGTGAAGTCGATGGTGTGTACGAGTCTGGTCGCAAGATCGAGTCTCTTCACCACTGGAACAGTTGGTACACCAAGGACGTGGTCAAGATGACCACTGTGGCTGCAGCTGCAGGTCGCCGCTCAGTTCTTCGCCGTTGGGTCTTCGATCAGGAGGAGATCGTCAACAATGCTACTGGACGGTCAACCCGCACCTTCTGGGTCTTCACCAACGGATACTCACTTGTCAAGTACACTTACGATGAGAACACCCCCGATGATGCCATTAACTTCGACCATGCCGAGAAGACTTGGGAAGAAGACCCCCGCGGTTATGAGGCCCGCCTCGGTCCTCTCCGCTGGAGGGATCAGGACGGTGTCACCAAGGACCGTTGGTTGTTGCGTGAAGCCTATGTTGTGGGTGACAATGTTCACCAGTGGTATGTGCGTGAGGAAGATGAAGGCCACAGCGTGATCGAGATTGTCTGGCTCGGTCCTAAGGGCGGTGGCGGTGCAGGCATCAAGGACTTTGCTGTTCGCAGACAACACTGAGCCTTGAGATCAGACAATCAAAAATCATATGAATGAAACTAAGGCTGGTCCTTGGAATCTGCATAGCTTCTCTTCTTGCACATTTTTCATTCTCTTTATTTATTATTTTGCTGTTGCTTTTCCTATCTCTCTGTTACTCCTCCATCAACACCTTTGCTAAATTACTTCAAATGCCGACGACGATATAGCTGAAAACAAGGACGGACGTATAAGGGATCCGATTGGGTGTATCAACTCTTTTCCCGGAACCCTGACTTCCTTCGGCATTTCTATTCTCTACTGATTGATCATTTGTTTCATACTCGGCGTTGTCATTGGCGGAGTCAAGGAATGAGCGCGGTCGATCAAAGGACTGGGAACTGGTGGTTTTCAGCGGACGAGAAACTCGGGGACTATAGCTCGATCGCGGTCTCGCCTCAACTTGGTGGCTTGATCGAGGTATCAACCCAGACACTACTTACACTCTCTTTGTCTTTCCTTGTCTTTTTCATCGTGATGTTCGAGGCTTCATCCTTCTTGATGCATACCACTTGTAGAAATAGAACTTTTTCCGATCTCCTCACGTCTCCTTCACCACGGAGTCGCAGTTAACGCTGGTTTGTCTTTTGCTTTTGTCCTGGAGATTAGCGCATGTCTTGTGGTGGGTGTTGTCCTGGCCGCATATTACGAATCAAGTCTTGGATCTGTCTTTCTAGGCTCCCTGGTATATACAGTTATAGAATTGCTGGATAATTGTCAAGTTAGTTCCTGGACTGATTTTCCCTGTGTCGGTTAGACGAAGTATAGCAGCTGTCGACGTTTGTCGCAGGTTCTCGAATGCACTCTCTGTCTATACTTCAGCAGCCTATTAGTTCTAGCTCCTCTCCAGCAGTGTCCAGAAGTACAGTCTATTGTCATAGAAGGCTAGCACCACACCACGGCCTCACCCCATCCCCCCCCTCCTTTTCCCTTTATCGCCTAATAGGTCCTTAAGCGAATCCCAAAGAACATAAATATTGCCCCAGTAATATCTATAATCCACCACTAAGTGTATATCCTCTCCCCATTGCACAGGATGATATGACCTCAAGTGTGTGTGTGTGTGTGTATGTCCTTTGACTTTCCAGTTTCCCTTGAACTTTACCCAGCACATTTCCGCGAACGTCAACCGCACAGCCACTTGTTTTTTTGTGTGTGTGTGTTTGGTCTGGGACAGGCAGGCGGGCGATTTCAACCCGGAGGAACTGGAGCCTATCATTGTTTTGGGGGAAGGTAGGCAAGGACACTGTGAAGGGGGAGGGTATTGGTTCCGGGGTTTGGTTTGTGGGTGGGTGATATATGTGATTTCATTAGATTTTTTGGAGGTGGCGATGAGAACCTGATCTTGATTTCTCGGAGCTGAGGTTTGTGGGCTTGATGAGGTGAGGTGTGTACTGGGATGTATATATGGGGCCCTGGGGATTGTGGGGTGTAGGTTCCAGGGTGGTTATCTACTGGGTGGTTGTAGTATGTCTCCGTCGCGTGGGATATACTTAAGCCAGATGAATGGGGTGGAGATACGCTTCTCTCGTGGTTGTGGGGCGAGTAGATTCCCAGGCTCTCTTTCTCCAGTGGATCTGCGGTATGCTCGGATGGGTTATTGATATTGAGGAGGTCTGGGGTGCTTGGAGCTTGTTAGGAGGGGCTTGGGGCGATAGTCAATCTACTTTCCATCTATTCGCTTATCATCTTTGTTTTCCGGTATATGATGAAATGGTGATAGCTATATGCTATGCAGGTGGTCAAGAGGTCAATTTGGACCGGCGGGTTTATTGTTCTCTTTTCTTGTGGGAGTTAGTTATACGTTTTAGTCAACCACCCAAAACGCCATGCCGTGGATGATGGGTCCAATTGGAAGCTCGGAACGCCTAAAAGCTTGACCTTGGATCCTATCATATGCTTATGCTTATGGCTGCTAAGGGTGAGTGGGTGAGTGAGGTGTGAGGTGTGATGAGGGGTTGGAAGTAAGTTTGGTGGGGAATTGGGAAATGTAACCCTGGAGCTGAGGCTTCGGTTTCTTTTGGCTTTAAGATCGATGTTGTTACTGGAAGGTTGGGATTGGATGGAGGGAAGGTGTAGTAGAGGGGGAGTTTGATGCTTGCTAGCTTGCTTGCTTTACTGTTGCATCTTGCTGGTGTCTATCTTTTTATGTGCTTTTTAATGTAGAGAGTCAGAGCAGTAGGAGTTTTTTTTCTCTTGCGCCGTGACCGAGGGTTGGTGTGGTTGTAGATTGTCTCGTTTCATCAAAACATTGCGGGCATCAATCATGAGTCCGGACTGTCACCGTCATTCGGGTTGGATTTCCGCGGGGAAATGGATCCTGGGTATCTCGCACAGAACAGGTTTAGTTTTATCCTCTGACTTATGACTCTAAGGTAACCGTACAGTACTGATCAGGCGCAGCCCTACAAGGAAGGGGATCTTTTGTCGTTGGCGGTGGATCTTGCACGAGTTGGGAAAAGATGGTCCAGATTTCGTGTTTGTCAGGCAGTGTTGTGTTGTTGAAGTTGTTAGTCTAGTTGTCCACGCTGGTTTCCATCGGTTTCCTACGGAGGGCTGAGCACAGGGTACGGAGGCTTGTTCCAGTCTCTTCCTACTTAAACCTCTGGAATGTATGGGCTGGTTTCGGTTTCAAGGGATGAATGGGTGCTTACCTGCGGAGGACGTGTGTGGTCTCCGACTGGACAAGCTATTCGAGGACGGGGAAGATATATTATTGGTGCTGGGTGGGAATAATTGGGGCAATTATTGCTGATAGTAGGGCCTCAGGCTGCGTGCGTTCCCCTGTGAATCCTCTGCAGTCGGTGGCTATTCTTGGATCCCTGCATTTCCAATGCTGGTGTCCGAGGTATACCGCTGTAGTTGGGGCGTTAGGTAATAGTTATGGTCGGTGATGTATGGGCTATCAATGATAGAATATTGTTGAAATGTGTCAGTGAGTGTTGAAGAGGGAGACGGCTGGCATGGTAGGTAGTTACAGGAAGTAAGTCATGGCTGACTTGAGTTTATAGGGTTGCATGCATGCGAGAGCACCACCCGGGGGACAGGCGGCAGTTCAGTAGTGACAGTCTAGTTAGTGTAAGGATGGAGTTGGTGTATGCACTTTCCCTCCCTCCAAACTGTAGAAGTTTCTACCGAGCTGGCGAGCTGGTTGGCTCGCTGGTGGATTTTGGACTGAGAGCGAAAGAGTACCTAGCAGGTACGAGGGTGCTACGCAGTCAGAACAAGGCGTCTGCAGGTCACTGGCTGGTCTCTCTGCGTCTCGGTGGCACAATTGCTAGGTCTGTAGTTTAGTATTGAAAGTGGTAATGTTTTGGTTTTGGGGGCGAACTGCCCGCGCGCCGCTCCCCGTACTAGGTGCGTACTGGGGTTTACCGTACACGGGAGGAAGCACCGTTGAACCTGGCCGGGTGGAATGCGATTCTGAAGAAGGGCACATGACCATATCTGAAGGACTAAGGCAACTAAGTTGTTGATCGATGTGATGAGCTTGAAGCTTGACAACTCAGAGCCCTTGAGTTCTACTGGAATTGCGAGTGTAGCTATTGACTACACACGACAGTGTCCACGGTCGGCTCACTAGATTCCCTTTCTGGATGGGAGGGAAACCAGCAGACAAAACAGATACGGTAATAAAATTTCGGGTGGGGAATGTGAGTTGGCCTCTACAATCGATTCCCCCAATGCCTTACTGCGGCTGCGCCAATAGACACTCGGGCCAAGAGCCAGGCTTCCCCACCGTCGGGTCTGGACACCGCCCGTAACGTGACGGAAAGATTGGAGCCAAGTTTGGGGTGTGTGGTGGATGAGTACCGATGCGTTGCGGGAGAGCGACTCTGCAAGATGAGGTAGAGGCTGAGGAAGAGGAGTAGAGATGACTTGGAGGTACAGTGAAGATCAGTGGGCAAGTAAGGTAGTCCTGAGTAACCCGAAGTACCAGTTTTACAAAAAGGGATGGAAGCTTCGCCATGATGGATGGGAAGAATGCATCCAACCATCAGCCAGCGGTACGAAACCGGTTCCCGGGGGTACGATACCACGACCACATCCACGTGACTGACCGCCTGCCTGTCCCAACCGGCACTTTGCCTTCTTCGACCTTCTCCTCACTCAGTCGCTCCCCCCCCGTTTCTCTTTCCTTCTCGTCCTGAACCCAAACCCTGCGAAGCAAACGCGTTACTCGATTTGGTCATTCTCCCTCCCCCTCAAAAGCATCATTCCTCTTTGGGCATTTGTCTTCACGTCCCCCAGTATCTTCCTTCCTCACACTACTCTCTCAAAGGAATTCTTTTTCGTTCAAGTTTCCACCCCCCTTCCCCCTCTTGAACCACCTCATTCCACCATGGCCGACATCACCGCCGTCGGTGAAGAGAACCCTTCTCCTACTCAGGACGACCTGCAGCAGGCCGCCGGTAACGGCGCCGCTGACAACCGCGGCACCAAACGCTCTCGCATGAGCGCTGCCGACGACGACGACGATGATGATGACAAGCCGGGTCGCGAGCGCAGAAAGATTGAAATCAAGTTCATTCAGGATAAGTCGCGTCGCCACATCACCTTCTCCAAGCGGAAGGCGGGTATCATGAAGAAGGTACGTGCTTGCGCGTCTCAGCCCCCATCAACCTCTTTTTTTCTTCGATTGTTTGTAATTCCTGTCGATTCGCGACTCCTTGTTCTTTGTCGCTACATTGCCTTAAGGTCTTCCGCATCAATGCGTGATGCTTGCATGAAGTCATTGTCCCCATTTGCTTGACCAGTACTGACGCATCATCGCGGTCGCAAAACAGGCATATGAACTCTCCGTCCTCACTGGTACTCAAGTACTGCTTTTGGTCGTGTCTGAGACCGGTCTCGTGTATACTTTCACCACCCCCAAGCTTCAACCATTGGTGACCAAGCCGGAGGGCAAGAACCTGATTCAGGTGAGTGGCGTCCGCTAATGTCTCGGTCAATTGAGTCCGATTGACTCACACTTCTCCATTGCAGGCCTGTCTCAACGCTCCCGATCCGACCGCCAATGAGAACGGCGTCGACGCCCCGGAGGTGCCTGCTGAGACCCCCGAAGATGTCAGCCACGCCAATGTCAACCCTCAGCAGCAGAACATGCCCCGCCCTGCGGGCATGCACCCCGGTTACATGACGAACGAGCAGCAGCAGCAGATGGCCTACTATCAGAACCTCCAGCAGCAGCAGCAAGCAGGTCAACAATATCCCGGTATGCCTGTAGGCAACCGGATGCCCCCTCAGCACCAGCCCACCGCATAAGCTGCGTGTCTTTGAGTCCTTCCCGCCGCGCGCTCTAAGGAACCTGAGGAGCCCAGGCAAGTTGTTCGCATCTTTGTCAAACATCAGCCCGCGCAACGCTTGCTCCTCCACGGCCTTTCTTTGATACCCAGACGATTTGTTCCCCCACCTATTTGGCACACTTCCGAAACCCAAAACCAGATTAAAAAATGTGAAAAATCCGGTCTACGCTGTATGCCAGAAAGCAATCCAGAATATCAAGAGGAGGGATGATTTCAATGTCTTTTTCCATACTCTGTATATCGTCGAACTGTTGGTGCTGCATGCAATCCGAGTCGCGCTGATCTCAGCATTTGGCAAGATCGCGTCTGCTATATTCGCCTTCCCTCCCGTTTCAACATAAATGCCAAACAGCCTATTAAGCAGAAAAAAAAAAAACTCAATTGAGAAACAGAAAAACACAAAAAAACAAACCCAAAGGCCAGAATGGATGATCGAATCATGAAGGATGCATTCCGAAATCTGGGAAAGGCTCCCAGGCAATAAATTGATTTTTCTTTCCTGTTTTCCCATTCATTCTACTAATGTCTTTCCTAGACGACTGCTGGGAAGTGGCGGTGTTTCTGGTGCTTTCTTCTTTCTCTCTTCTCTCTGTGTCCGTTGACCTTTTCCTCTTTTTGCGGGCGAAGTGGTTCTCTGTTAGCTCTGATTGTCGAAGTGCGTGTGTGAGTGTGTATGCGCGAAGTATATGTGTTCTTATCATAAATTGTCATTTCTTTTCTTTTCGAAACCCTATCATCCACCCATGCAGTGACCTAATCCCTTTTTACTTCCTTTTATGCAGTTCCCTCTCTTTCAGGAAGGAGTGGGCGGACCAATGCCATGTATGATCACTCCTTGAGATTCTCTTGCCATGATTAGCGTATCGTAGCGGTGGATTCCTTCCCTATCTTTCTCTTCTCAGGAATCTAATCTTGTGCTGGATGTATCCCTATGGGAGAATCCATATAGCAAAACGACCGATGGGTTGGTTGCTGCAGGGCGATGCGGTATAGTATACAGTTCCCGCGCCGGGCAGGTCTTCCAATGATGTCAGATCTTGATGATACCAGGGCCGGCGTAGCAACTAACCAACGTCAGTAGCAAATACGCAAGTACGGGAGAAAGGAATTTGACATGGTCGTATGATAGAGTGGGATCTGGGTGGGATGCTACACTACGGTATTGCTTTGGGGGAGTCGCTGGGTTATTGTTTGATATTAAGTGGGTATGATTGAGAGGAGTAGTAAAAGTGCTGAGTGGCCTTTTTTTTTTTCTTTGGGTAAGTGGATGTGGGATTGGCTCTAAGGGTCGATTGATAGGCGGTTGGTTGTCCACATATACTCTGGTTTGTTTTTTTTCTTGGGGGTTGTCTATCATGCAGTATTACAATTGGGGACGGAGAAGGCATAGCGCTCGTTTTGCTTGGGGTGTGAGTTGAGAACTGTGTATTGGTTATACAGTACTTCGCTATAGGAGGTTATATGGAATGTATGGATTGTTGTGGTTGTTGTACATTAAGTGGGAAAAAATAAGACTCGGTTGGGTCTACTGTTTGAGACATATATGGTGCTGCTGGCTGTCCAGTAGAAAGGTCTATGGGAAAGGGAGGTAGGAAGAAGGAATGACTATCGCTGCTCGAATGGGTGGTCTGGATGGGCCTCGAGGTCTGGGTCATGGTCAGACGGTTGGCGCCCCCGATTCGACGACGTCCAGCGAGTGAGGGTCTGTAGGCCTGCCCACGCTTGGCGGAGAGCTCTCCTCGGACCAGCGAGGAGGGCGCCCCCCTCACCCCTATCTGCACCGGGTGAGAGATGCATGGATCCCTGGTGGTGGTTGGGAGCAACGAGGCTGTCGCTTCGTTCGTCTTGCGTGCCGTACCCTGTGACCCGGGCCCCCCGGCCATTGGAGGTCCCTTGCCGGTGGAGAAGGAGCTGGCGGTTTTCCGAGGCGGGGGCCGATGTCCGCCGTTGTTTACGATCGAAGAGAGAGTACGGGTTGCGGCGCTGGTTCCAGGTAGGCGGTTGAGCCACAGGGTTGGTGCTGGAGCGGCGTGGCCCTCGGAGAAGACTATCTCGCAGGGTCGTTGCGCCACTCCGGCTGCGAGGTCGTGCTGCGAAGGGCCCAGCCGAGGCGCGTTTGCGCTGACCCGACCGCAAGGCGAACGCCGCGTATTCATTGTCGGAATCGTCGAGTTCGGCCCAGATGGAAGCAGGATCCACGTCCGCTGTCGACGTCGTCGAGTCCCGATGGCTCAGCGGTGCATGTAACAGAGGTAGACTGGGTGCCCGTTGGTGCGGGGTGCGGCGAGGAAGGTGAGCTGTTTGCAACAATGGCTCACGCTCCGATCCCTCCTCGCCGTCGAGTCCCAGGCCAATTGGGGATGTCGGAAGTTCTTCAAGGACGGCCAACCCTGGACCCAGACCGGTTTGCGTAGGCCCAGCCACGGCCACAGCGGCGTGACTGTCGATATCCTCTAGACGCCAGGACAGACAGAGAACTCCACTCAGGAGAACAATCGTCCCCAGCGCGATAAGTCCCGCGTGGAAGCCTCCGAGCTGGGACATTTGTTGGAAATAGACCAAACCATCTATGATAGCAATAATGTTATAGATGCAGAAGACAAACGGATACAGAATGCTGGTACTGCACAATTTCAACCCTCGATGGAGGTAGAAGAGCTGGGACAGAGCCAGCGCTATCATTGCAAGCAGAATGACCCATGATTGCCAGCGGTTGAATTGATTGACGCGATCCACGACGGTCCGAACCAGCAGCTCGACAGCCGATTTCGCAAGCAAAAGAGTGTGCGCGGACAGTATTCCGCTGATCATACCAAACGAAAGCCCGCGTATGAGGCGAACACGCCCCGGGGACATTTGCAGTGCCCGGTAAGAACCACGCGACCCCGTATGCTTGGACCGCGGCGGTGACGTAAGGAAATCGAGCAGTCTGGACCCTGCGTAGATAGCCAGCACCATCAAAGCTGTACCTCCCATCCAGAGTACGAAGTTTCGACGCTGCAAAAGCTGCAGAAGTTGATCAAGACTATGCGCCGGCTCTCCCAGGGCACCAAAGATTGCGATGAGCAGTGCACCAATGCAGACCAGAAGTGTGCCCACCAGAGAGTATCTTGTAAACGCTTCACCGAGGATCAGAGTGGCGAAGACGGTGTTGAAGACGAGACCGGACTGAATCGCGGGAGTTAGTGAGGCTCAGGGAGTGTTGTCGTAGGGCTAGAGACTGACTGCTTGGAGTGTTGAAAGTACGGGGAGCGGAAGGGTTGTGATTTGTATAGTACTGCCAACGATGTTCGCAACGACGAACATGAGCATACCCAGCTAGAAAGAGAAACGCGCTGTTAGACAATTGTGAAGCAATGAAGGGGGGGGGGAGAAATATGCGCTGCGCACCTGCCATCTTCGACGTTTGTAAGGCGGTCGACGTAAATCGTATGGGTGTTTCTCGTCCTCGAGGATATGCGACTTGCGTTGGAGGGTCAGTCCGATAGCTTGAAGACTGGTCGAGATCAGCCCGACGACGACTCCAACCTAGCAGGAAGAATGGGAGTTAGCTTCTCAGTAGTCAATCGCGAAAACCAAACCAATAACTGACCGCGACGCTCCCCTGAGGTGACAGGTCACCGAGATTGCCCATCGCGAAGGTTGTCCTCATGCATTGGCTGCTGAGCGGGGAACGAGAGACCAGGCACACATCAGACTGGGGAAGGACAGGCTAACAGTCCAGACTCCATTGTCTGACGGAGACGATGGTAAGGACAGAGGAGGAATCTAGGTGATAGATTTAGGCGAAGAGCAAGGAGCGAAGGGTTATTGTGTCGAGTAGAGAAGAAGGGAAAGGTAAGTTAAGTTAGTCGAAGGGGCAATTTGGGGCGGAGCGAGACGGAGCGAGACGGAGAGAGAGAGAGAGAGAGAGAGGGAGACATTGAAGAGTAGCCGCCAAGCTGCGATCCGATCAGCAGATCCCGCCAAGTGCGACGCTTGCTGCTGGCTGCTGGCTCTTGTCTCTTGTCCCTTGTCTGTTCTCCCTTCCTACCCCTCCTTTTTCAGGTCGCTCAACTACATTTTACATTCCGTACCTCTAGTTTCAGGTGAGTTCTCTCTTTCTGCGTGGTGGTTCCTCCTGACCCCCTCCATGCAAGTGTTGTTGGTGGTGGTGATACCGTACAATCACTATCAGTGCCGACCGGGAGTAACAAAGTGACAATCAGGCTGACGTTGGTCTCTTCTTAGTGCTCCACCCAGAAACACTCCTCCGCATCGGGAAGCTCGAACGGCCCTCAACATACCTACACACCGGCCTACCTACCTACCTACCTACCTACCATTAATCAATCTTTCGCTTGTACTTTGTTTTCCTTCGTTTGTGAAACTATCAATCCACCGTCACCATGTCGCAAAGTCATGCTCTTTCCGATGATCAGGTACGCAACCATTACTCATTTCCAACCCCCCTCCCCGCTACGGGGGCGACTGTCGGGTCCCCGAACTAACAACTCCCCCTCTTCTTCGAATAGGTTGCGGGCGAGCTCCGCAAGATGACGGCCTTCATCCGCCAGGAAGCGGTGGAGAAGGCCCGCGAGATCCAATTGAAGGCCGACGAGGAGTTCGCCATCGAGAAGTCCAAGCTGGTCCGTCAGGAGACCGCCGCCATCGACACCCAGTACGAGAAGAAGTTCAAGCAGGCCGCCATGTCCCAACAGATCACCCGCTCTACCCTCGCCAACCGTACTCGGCTGCGTGTCCTCTCCGCCCGCCAGGAGCTCCTCGACGAGCTGTTCCAGCAGGCCCGCGAGCAGATCTCCGGGATCGCGGCCAAGGATGCCGAGAAGTACCAGACCGTGCTGAAGGGGCTGATCCTCGAGGGTCTGTACGCGTTGAACGAGGACAAGACTGGCGTGCGCGCGCGCAAGCAGGACTTTGACACCGTCAAGAAGGCGATCGAGGAGGCCGAGAAGGAGT